TACCATTCTGAATAGTAATCTCCATATGACACTGCAGTCCCTGAGACCAGGTGCTGCCACTGCATCTTGCAGCATAAAAGTGGCAGATATAGTCATGAGCATGTAAAACCAAAGGTGCCTGAAGGCACTTCCCATCATTTCACTGAAGACGATTGCTATTGCCAGGCAAGTTCCTCACACAGTTCTCTATACATTTATTCTTTTCTCTGTTGCTCCTTTCGACCTGTAACTTTAACCTCTCAGAGTATGACAAATGTATACAGTACTTTAGGTATAATACATGAAAAGCACTACGTAAGCTCTGAAGAGAGAATCATTTGTGTTCTGAGGATGAGAGAAGACTCCAGTCCTTACCCATCAGTTCCACAAAAGCCAAGGAAATCACTAGAGCTAAGAGCTGAAGGTGCTCTGCGGTCTTACATTCAGCCCCAGTGACCATATGCAAAGCCAAGTGGTTAAGAAACTGCTAGTAAATCTATGTGCCAAGCAAAACACAGGAGGTGCTTTAGGGCCTAATAGCACTTACTTTTTTAATCCTGAGCCCTGGTTTAAAACCAGTCACTGGCAGAAATAGTAACTCAGAGGGACGTGTCCTGGTGTCCCATTTATCTCTGCTGTGAATCATAAAAAGGGAGGTAGGGCAAGAAGCACACTGCTGAATTGGTGTTATGTTTCAGACAGTCAGACAGGGCTGAGCCAGACTAATGTACCAACTATAGCAGTATTCTCCTGGGCACAGAAGGAAAAGCTGCTGAGAGATGTTTGAGAAAAAGTATCTGTGGGTGGGCTTTCTGCACATGCTTGATTCCAACACAGAAGCCAGAGACCTTCATAGGAAGACAAAGCAACGCTTCTGGGCATAACATACACAATCCTGATCCTAGAGCGCTCCATGTTGCTGGCTAGGAGGATGGGTGGTTAATGGAACTTTGTACAGTTTCATGTCTCTGCCTTCGCTTCAGGGGGCTTGAACAAATGCTTCAAATAAAACAGAAGCAGCAAAGAGAAAAAAATAAAAGGAAAAGACCTATGCATCCTTTGTCTAAAGTGGTCTCTGTGCTATGACTTATCCAAAGTGTGGATCAGAACTGGTAGGATTCCTCAGAGTCACTGAAAACCAACACAGTGACTTCCTTCTGAAATGTTGATGAGGAGATGAAACTTTCAGAGAAGGTGAAAATTAAGGCAGATTGTTTGACGGCAATAATGGTTTCTTCAATGCAACGTGATCATTTGCTCTTTATAAAGAGGAAAGAATGGATAACATGGCCAACACCAATCGAACCATTTACAATGGCCAAAAGAGATGGAGCTGAGGCCTTCAAGTACTACAAAGAAGCCAAGTAGGGTAAGGAGAAAGATGACAAGAAGTTGGATACAAGTGCAAAATTATTTCCTTTCCATTCAACATAATAATAGACCTACAGCTGACCTTGAAACTTCCAAAAGGTGCCCTTGTATTGAGGCCTGGAAACAGTAGAAACAGCAGAGGGCTTCTGATCTCTAGGAACTTCACTCACTCACTGAACTTTTGAGCTGTCATTTCCAATAAACTTGGCTGCAGATGAACCAGAACTTTTTTTTTTAAAGGAAAACTATTCATAGTTTGAAAAAAGAATTGTGGGGATTTTTTCCCTTTGTCGTTCCATTTGACGTCCAAAAAAACTATAATATCCTTGTGGAGTAGAAAGCGAAATAGATGGAAGAGGAAAAGCTGCACGAATAATGTTACAATGAAACCACAAGCAACAGAAGAGGAAATGTTAAAGACCCCAAACCCAAAGAGAAAAATCAAGCTAAGAGCACGTCTTTAAAGCAAGTGAGACCCAAATGTGCTTAGGGAAATTAAGTGATTCCCTATATGAGCTACTTTCTCATTTTAAAGCGGGTTGATAATGATTAGCAACCAGCATATTAAATGAATCTCTCTTTCTACTATCAAAAGTTTTAACTCATCTTTACCAGACTTGACTCCTAAACCTGAGCAGTTCAGGAAGGTGACCTGAGATGACAGCCGAGGATGACACACTATTGACTACAGTGAAGAAGTAGGAGGACCAATTGTGCCTATCAATTATTAAACAGACAGAAAGAAAGGACCCAGAGAATAGCTAATACATGGAAGCATCCATCTCTATGCTCCAGGCAGACTTTGTAGCCTAGATTTATAAGAAGAGGAAGCTTTATTACAGGTAAAATATAAGTTTAAAATGATCAAATGGTTTCTCTTTAATTAAACAGTTATTAAAAGCTTGTTTGTTGTCAATCTGATGTAAAGCAATGTAATCTTTGGCGTCCCCTACCTCATCCAGACTGAGAAGCACAGGGTCAGGCAGTGAGGAGCTGAGGACTAAATCCCTGAGTCACTGAAATCCTCCACAGAATGCTTGGTGGTACTGCTCATACAGCCAGTTAGGAAAACCTTGGCTGATGAATGGGAAGAGAAACAGTACAGCAATAAATTCCTATGTCTACTGTGCAGTCAATAGATTTGTCTTGTACTATATTCAAGCTGGGTGTTTTTCACCTTGTACAGAGAAACAATGCATTTAGGCTACATTTAAGTTTGAGTAAGCCAAAGCTTTCCAAAGCTTCCTGAGTACTTCCTAACTGTTCCCATGAGTTCCGAACATGGCTTTTCATTTTCTAGCAGAGAAGGATTTCAATTTTTAACTCATTCCAATCCTGCTTTCACTTCCTGTCATTCTGTGCCTGCTCTGCATCTTGTATATTGACCTTTCTGATGTAGCAGAGATTTACAAGCAAAACTACCTTGCTGAGGCCCTTTAGGTCCCAGAAATAGAAAGAACCTTGCCAGAGGTAGATGCATGCATGAAATGAGATAGCTCATCCTACATCTGATAAAGCTTCCTTGTCTTAACTGTCTGAAAATCATTACCTGTGTCTATTTCTGTAACCCATATTGATCAAAAAAGTGCATGCTTCTTACTGGCTCTCAAAACCCAAAAGTTTCAGCCAGATATGATCTGAACTGACATGTCTACGAAAATGGTGATGTGCTACAAGCCAAGGAAAAAACCTCCTTTAAACAATCCCTCTTAAAATAGAATAAACATCAAATGGCCCCAAATCTGTTTTCTTTAACTCCTAGAACTGCTTTAAGGAGTAAAAGTAGAATTTCCCTAATGACCTCTATAACAAGGAAGTGAAAAAAGACTTCCAGGCTTCATTACGATGGGATTAAGTCAGAACAAATCCACTGACTCCAGTAGCATTACCTCAGCCTTACACCACTGCATCCAGAACTCCCTCGGCATCAGCAGAGCCGCAGCAAGTTTCCTTTGCTGCCTTAGATCCAGATCCCACTATAAATCTCAGGTTTCATTTGGCTGGGAAGAAGGAAGTTTTATTTTTCAAGTCTACCATGAGTTGGCAGTGACAGTTTTTTAAAAAGGCTGTTGATGTTTGTATCCATCTTAGATCCATTGAAAACAATGGCTTTAGCGTGGGAAGGTCCAGATCTGTTCCAGACTTTTAGGAGGGAATTTTTTATCCAGAGCTCAATAGAATTAGAAAGAGAAGAACAACTGAAATCAGGGAACTTGAGATCAGAGGTTTTGCCTCTGACACATCCATGATTACCAGTAACGTGGAGGGTCACCTTTGGCTGTACGAGATTGAACACAAAAGTTACCATTAACCTGCAACATGCTGGGCGCTTCCAGTTGATTTTACACTTGGTGGGATGATGGCAGATTGCAGAATCAGGCCCTGTGGGGGCCAGAGAAGAACCATAGCCCCTTCCAGCTCCTGCACAAGTAGGAGAGATTCTCAGCCACACCAGAAACCCTATGAAAGACTGAGCACAGGCAAGCTGGTGTTAAGTCATTGACGTACGGATGCTTCACAGAACAGTTGGGGTTTTAATAGGCTAGATATTGTCCCAGCATTTGGTGCTCATGGATAAGAATAGAATTAGATTTACTTAATGTATTTGCTATTTAGGCAGATGATTCATGTTAAGCCATCGGCATTCAGTGGCAAACATCATTAGTTCAAATTGTATGAGAAAAAGGCCCAGGAAGAGGAGTCACAATCTGGCCTCTATCATAAACAGCTGTGTTTTTAAATCCCCATTTTGAGGTTGTTTCCTGTAGTTGTTGGTATATACTGTACACTGAAAATTAGGCCTCAAAAACACTTATTAAAAATTTATACAGCTTATGACAGGCTCTTTCAGAAACATAACCCTTAACTAATTCATGTTCACTTACCCTGCAGTTTTCTATTTATAATACTTTACAATTTCTGTGTATTTGTACTATAAATTATTCAATGACATCAAGGTTTTTATTTTGATGAGAGAATTTTTGATGAATTTGACAGAGTAATTACTTCAAATCCTGTTCTGGATTGCTATGAAAATATTTAATTTTATTTACTCCAATAAATAATTAAAATGTGAGAGCAGCAAGAATACTCAGTGCCTTATAGCCTGTGACTTCTGTTTGCTTCTCCCTAATTAAAATAGCAATGTTTATGTGTGCACTGATTTAAATTAATAATAAACTACCAACTGGGGAGAGGGACATCTAAAGAAGGAGGAAAAAGACTCTTGTAGCAACAAGCACAGTCTTAAATACCCGAAAGAAGTATTCTGAAGAAAGAGGAATTTATTGATCCTCTGACACTGTTAGAGGCACTCAGGACAGAATCTCAACACGGTGCATGTTACTTAAATATAGACTATTCCTTTTGTGGATTTAAAGTTTAAGAAAGGGCAGCTTTTTAGATGTTCCCAGCTGATTCAGCAACACTTTAAGCACATGCTTAACTTGAACCCATGAGTACTTCCACTTACTTCAAGAATGTTCATGCTCAGATTTAAATTAAAGTATTGAAGTACTGTTCTGGCAGCAACCTAAATCTTCTGCTAAATCAAAGATTAAAATCACAGTGTCTCTAAATGCTCTGTGATTTAATCCAAAATAGTCTTTGCCCCATTGAGGAAAGCTCAGTTCACACTGGTCACTGGTGTTCAAGCTGCAGCCCCCTATATTGCCCAAAGAATTTGCATAGAGTCAAATCTATTTCCAAGCCTCATACGTAATTTTACTGCCTTCAGATGAGAGGGCTCAAAGACAGAAAAACTCTATGTGTAAAAAACAAAGAAAGAAAGAAAAGCCCAAACCCTCAGAACCTCTTAATTGTTCTACAGGTCACAGACAGGCACATACTCAAAGTTTTTAATTACATTGAAGCCATCAAGCATGCAAGTGCACAGTCATTATCATATAATAACTGGTTAATTACCTCATTAGTTGGCTTTTTCTTTTGACATTAAAACTTGCTCATTATTAGTAAGTACAGTGGTGATCTGGTTACCCATGGGCTGGTAATTGAGAAAAACTGACAGCTCTTGACAAAATGACTATTAGTATTTCACAGGGCTGGAGTGAAGCGGGGACGGGACATCGGTCAAACGGCTGCAAGGAAAAGGAGAAATAGTTTGCTGTTTTCTAAACTATTTGCTATGCCAAAAGAGGTAGATCGCAACAGATTCTTGCTTGCAGTGAAGGACGGAGATTTTGGTGGTTTAGATGCAGGTAAGAAACCGGTAACAGTCGGCAAACTGTGGCTGAAAATCAGTGCCATCTGTCGGCAGTTTGCCGGATTATCTGAAAGCTGAACGGGTGATACCTCAGAGCAATTCCCGCTGGAAAGGTGTTCATATCTCCCCCAAAACACTAACAGCTTTGAAACAAATTGGCACTCTGGGTGGCAGCATCAGCAGAGAGGATGCAATGGGGATATTCAGAGGGCTGGGGAACTAAACAGCAAAGAATTTCAGACCCACCAGTATACCCAGTTACTCCCTAACCTCAACAGGCTCCATCCGTGTAACTGAGATACAAATTGCACCCCTCCTTCATCCCCAAGTGCCTTCTAGTGACATAAACAGTTTACAGTCTAAGCACAATGGGAGGAGATTTTAACCCCAAGCACAGGACACACTGCAAAGGACGCAGTGCCACACCACAGGAACTCACTGCCAGACCCCATATAGCTCTGTCTCTGTCTCTCACAGTGATTGCACACAGACACACATGCACAAAGATACACATGCCCACAGACCCCACCATTTCATCATGAGCTCTGATGTGACTGGAAGTCATGACCAGTAATAAATCCTCGCTGCTGGTATGGGGTTGGATTGCAGTTTGGTGGGTTAATCCAATAGCAGACCCTAATAAAACGACTTTCAGCTTGCTGCAAAAGCAATTTCTGTGCAACGTGCCATATTTCGATGGCAGTGCCTCAAGTTGCAATGAGTAACACGTTCTGTCACAGGCTGTTGTAAACACGCGGGCTGCTCGGCACGGACCGCGCGTGATTCGTCTGAGCGGAGACCTAAAATCTTACACCTGACTGTTTCACTCACTATCAAGCCAAAATAAAGCTTCAATGGCAGAAGCAAGCAGGGAATACAAACTAGCTGTGACTGGTGCTCAGAGCTGAACGCACAGGAGTAGGAGACATAGGGTTTGGCATTTTTTTTGCTTTTTGTGGAGACTGTAGAGGTAGCAGCGTTAAGGGAGGATATAGCCCAGGGAGGGGCTGAGCACTAGTCAAGCACTTTCAGGCAATGGGAAAGGAAGAATTGGAGTTTGTCCTTTCTGGGACTAAAATCCGAATGTTTACTTGGCTACAGGTGCAGGTAAAATGTGATTCTGAGCTGAAGGAGGTCTGCTAGCTAAAAGGAGCGCAGAAAGACTATTTAACTTCTATTCTTGGTCCTCCTATTGATTTGTTTGTAACCTCAGGAGAGTCGTGTCTGGGCCAAAATGTCCTCAGATTGGAAGCCAAAAGTTAATTTAAGATAATGCAGCTGTTAAATAAGCATTCTGATTTTCAGAGTTGATTATATTGAAGAATGGAAGAAGGATGCAATACAACACTTTTCTTCTGTGACATTCTACTTGCACTCATTCGAAGACATGAGTCTATAGAACAGCAGCCTCTGTGACATGTAAAACCATGTTTGGCATCTGGTTTTCTCTTCATCTTTCCCCCTTTTATTTTTTTATTTCTGGTGCGTGCAGCTAACACTGAAGATTTTATTTTTCCTTTTTAATGGAGAGATTGTTATTGACTACCTGGTGCCTGGGCTCACAGGGTAGGAAAATAACCCAATAAAATCTACTGAGCCTAAAAATAAAGAATCCAAAACAACAACAGGAGCTCTGTATCATGTGCACCTGGAGGAAAGAGTGCTGTAGTCTACTGCACATTAGGAAATATGATAATGTCGTGGGCCTGTCTATATCCCACTAAACAAGACACCTGAGGCAAACTGCCTGCTTGTCCCACCACCACTGTGGACTATCCTACGCACAGGATGCAGTGTATGAATAGTCAAGCTTATTCACAGGTTTGCAAGTTCCTTGGTTCCCATGATGTTTTAGAGGGTTTGACAGCCCTTTCCAAAGGGCCTCTGTCTTGATCTAACTCTGTGACAATGTGAGAAACAAGTTACAGTACCAAAGCTATATTAAAAGTCTGGACCGACTTGCAGGAAGATTAGGAATTAGCCAGGGCTTGAATATTTGCTTTGAAAGCTTAAAAAGTTTATGAAGCTTGAAGATCACAGTTTAAGAAATGGTCCTCAGTATTGAGCCTTGCCCTATGTTCTAAAAGCAACAGAGTTAAAACCCTGCCTGCGACAGGCCCAAGAACTGATTTGGAATTGTTTAGCACTGCATTTAAGCATCTTCTCTCCTTTGCCAGGAGAGAAATTTACTATTTACAAATCATTGAATGTTGACTGCAAAGAAGCAGGCGTACAGGGTATAGCTTCTATATACACTCAAGGCCCTTAGTGTTCCTCCTTTGAGAATGAGGACCTTAACTACACCAGGACACAAATGGTGCTGGAGCGTTACCACCAGCAACAGTAAAGCAAATTTTAACTTGTGTAAAAAAGGGGAAGAAAAAATCCTTCCTCCAGAAACTTCTTGGGTGGGAAGTGACAGCAGTCATGCCACAAGGACAGGAGGAGCAACGGCATTATATTGGAAAATAAAGATGTGAGTAAATCTACTATGATGAATATAAAATGCCTCTTTTGGATTTAATTAGGAGTCACTCTTTTAGGTGACCAGGAATTAAACTTCTCTTTTAAGGGCACTGCTTTGTACCTGACTTCACACAGCAAAGCATATGGCAAAAAAAGCAGGAAGTAAGGATTAAGGTACGTTTTAACAGGCGGCATGTTCAGCCAGATGGCCTGCTCCCTGCTCCTCAAGAGCTGCATGCTTTTTTCCCCTCCAGAGTTATTTTGATTGAATTCCTTGCCCCAAATAATACAAAAAGGTCCATATTTTATGCTATTTTACTGCATACTTCTAAGTCTACCTCACATACTTCCCCATGCATAGGCTTTTTAAACAGAAATCATGGTGTTAAGGTAAGCAAGGGTCTTTCTGGCTTTGAGGACCACATTACCTCAAGACTGAAGAGTCTTTTCCATGCCTTTTCTCTCCTAATCTGAGTAGCAGCAGGAATAGCATCATGATGCTGTTATATCCATGATGACAGCAGGAAAGGAAGGCAACAAGGGGCCAGAGCTGGTGAAGTGCAGCACAAGTTTCTGACTGCCACAGCTATGGAGTTCCCAGAAGTCTGATGCAGGGTACAAATCAGGAGGGATTTTTTCTACCAGGTCCTCTTGCTTTTCTTTCTCACTCTGCTGTTGAAGCTGCCAGTCCCTCATTGATGACCCCCAACACTGCAGAGCTGTCCCAAAAGATTCTGCTCGCTCGACAAGCTGAGCAGAGCCAGGAGTTCCCATGGTCAAGCCATCACTGATGGCACCAGTGAGTGACCAGGAAAACATAAAGAATGTTTGTTGAAATGGGAGGAAGAGAATGGCAATTCAATAATCTGGATGCTCTTAAGAAAGCACAGCTAGAGAAGAACTCTAGTTCATACTGTTGCTACATCAAGACAAACTGTCCACCATTCCTTTTTAAAGCCAAGAACTAAATGTGGGATAAAAAGTCCTCCAGAACCGAGTTAACTGCAATGGAACTAATTGTCAGCAAAGAAGATTACTGAGAAAACTCAAGAAGAGGAAAAAAACCAAAGGAGTGGTTCTGTTTGGAGAGTTCTCTAATGAGACTTACGCACCACAATTAGGTATTGGTACTCTTGGACAGTTTTCAGTAGCCAGATGAATTGGTCCAGTTTCATTGAGGCATTAAACAGCCAGATACCCAGGTCACTGGAAAGCAAGGGCTAGAGGCACCAGTCTTCCTGACACACTGTGCTGAAGCTGCTCTGGACCCTTTGGTCAGATGGAGAGAAGCAGATGGAGGAAGTGTATATATCCATAGTGCCTGAGAGCAGTACTCCAGGAAGAGCCGAGAACAAAACAGAGAAACACCCACATCCAGTCACATATATCACAGCTATGGTTGTATATACCTTTGCCTGCATATACATGCACACATATACACGAAAAAGTATAAGGCAAGAAAGCAATCCCATTGTAAGAGAAATACACTATTTTTATGGCATACAGAAAACAGTAATGATGATTACACTTCCTCAGTGGAAGCCTTCATGAATATAGTGTAAATTGCATGACACAAACACAAGAACAAAGCTTCAGAATTGTGACAAATAGCTACTGGAGAAATTTGGATGAGACATCGAGGAGGGAGCAGTGGGGAACTTCCCCTGACTGGAGCTGGACAGTGTGTAATGAGAAAAATTCATTATCTTAAACTTTTGGATATGATGTGTAATTGTTAACCTCTGCCGTTAGTTCAAGGCTCCTTTCAGTAAAATATATGAGTTGCCATCAAAGCTGATTTGGATTAGGAAGCAAGCATGTGCCCTCACTTTTAGGTTATATTAATACACCAAAATCAATAACATGCCATAGCTTTCAGAAGTAGCAATAAAACACCCTAAAATATTCCCAGAATACTTCTATAAATTATTTGTTCAATGTACTTATGTTAAAAAGGTTGTCAGTTACAGTGCTCTGAAAGACTCTAAAATTACAAGTCATCGTATTTGTATTTGATAAACCCCCTGCTGTTTTGGGTCAGAGAGGGCTCCAGAATGGGGGGGGGGGGTGGGGGGGGTGGGGTAGAAATCATTATTTTCCCTAATAAATAAATTACTTGCCTATATTTCATGTATCGCTAAAACCTGCCAGTATAGAGGGCTTAAATAATAAATAGCAAATAGCTCCATTCATTTATTAATAATAATGCATCTTTTCTTCCTCTTGCCATATTTGCAGGCAATGGATTGAACGGTAGTCAAGTGGAAGGACAAATAGCTGGGCCACTGGGAACATTTAAAATTTTCCAGTTTAAGGTGAACATGTCAGCACTGACAACCCTTTTAGCTTCATCTTTGCGGTGGTGTGGTGCCTGGGCTGTGCACTGGCAGTGGTAGGAGCCTTTGGGCTTCAAAACTGCAAAACCCCTTGGAAAGCTGATTAGCTAATGGAGCTTGTATGTGTGCTTCTCAAATGAAAGCCCACTTTCAATTAGTCATCACAATACGTGTTCAACCCTGTTCAACAAAGCATGGAGCCCTTGGCAGGTTTATGTTCATAACACCTCTGGTGGGGAGCCCAATCCCTGGCTGTACAAGTGGCAAACAAAGATGTTGAGCAGAAAAGGTGGCAGTAAGTAGGGGGCTGATTCAAATACACACCTCTCTTATCTTCAGCTAACAAAAGATATGTTTTATTTGTGACTGTTCTCAGCATAAACTGCTCATTCCCTTTCTGACATAATCCACATCTACATCACCTGACTATTTTGTAACAGTCATTCCCCTTCATGGCTCTTTGATTTAGAGAAAAATAAAACATGAGCAGTTTACCAGAGAGGTGCACGTTTATCAACCTGTGAAACCTCCAAACATCCTCGTCCCACAAGCAGGGTATTCCAGCTGACTGCAAGCGCAAGTGGTGGCATGAATGAGTCCTAGAAATCAAAGTTCTTAACATCACCAGCAGCCCAGCCTGTAGGGTAGGGATAAGTGGATGAGGACAGGCTTCAACATCATGCCTTAATACCACACCTTCCATGGAGAATTAGGAGAACAAATGCACGTGCATACCGATGACCGCATCCACCAATGCCTTCCCCCTAGAAGAAAGAGAGCTGGAACCCCTGTATTGATGTAGGTCATGGCATCATCATGCCTGGTGGTAGAGAATGAATTCCTTTCTTTGTCTAAACACCCAGAGGGACCAGATAGGATGTAAGCAGCCTTATATTAACCAGAAGGTCACCTCTGACCCCTACCTGGAGTGCTAATCTTTTTTTCAAGGGAAGGGAAGAAAGCACTTTGCATCCTCCGTGTCCCTTGAGCATCCCACACCCCTCTCTGACAAAATAAAAGTCAAGAAAAGAGAAAAATGCATCACCTGCTACTGCATGTAGCAGACATGCACCAGACCATGTTGAAATCTGGAAGTTCACAGGCTTGGATAGGAGTGGCTGACAGCATTTCAGCTTGTCACTATTAAGAAGAACAAGTATGGAGGCACTCAGTCAGGGTGCAGAGTCTTCAAGAGCATGCCCTGCTACCCTCCAAAGGAATTTAATCACACAGCTGGCTACAGGAACTTCACTTCCAGCTACCTACAGTGTGCAGGTTTGTGTTTAAAGCAGACCATTTCTTACAGCCTTACCCACTGTGAAGTGCAGTTATGTTTTTCTACAAGATTTAGCTACAGGGCGGAAGACTTCAAGCATCTAAAAATACAGATGAGAGATCCAACATGATACTGCTGACCCAATCTAACAGGACCCTTGATAGCTGGGCGAGTTGGGTCACATCCTACCTATTGTTTCCTTTTGCTCAGAGTGTCACTGGCTCTTTTCTGACCGAGGTAAATTGCTTCTTTTCTTCTGGCTATTCCTTAAGCTACCCTAGGCACCAAGCAAGGAAAGTAAACACATGGCAAAGGCACAATAGGCAGAAGGGACTTGATCTTTGTTTAAAGCATGGGGTCAGCTCCTTGCTGTGAGCAGATTTTCCTCTTTGGAAACAGGTTCATGTTTATGTTTTAAGTTCCAACAACATGCTCTGGATTTTCAACATGTGCAGCACATCTGCTCCAGCCCAGATTTATGAACAAATCTGCATATAATTGTGCTGGGCTAGGGTGTTGTTGTTGTTGTATTCCCCCCCTATACCCACCCTTTAAATAAAATGGCTTTGTCCAAGGCTGTATAAACCCCTGATTCCAAGCCATATAATTTTATGGACAGGAAAAAAAAAGTTCTTTTGTATTGCACCTGAGCTCATTAAAACCCCCAAATTCCATAATTTTACACTACCATGTGCTGCATATTGTATTTAGTACCTAGCAGAGTAATTGCTTACAGTCCTCAGAGTGCACATAAGGTGGAGAAATGATGGAACAGGTGGGATAGCCACCCTGTGCTTGGTAATCACAGGTTTACACCCCTGCACAGCTGACGTAAAGCCTTGTGGATGAACTGTTCAAAAGCCAGGATTAGGGTCTTTTGTTAACCCTGGAGTGGGTGCCAAGTCCCAGACTTCCAGTCCCAGCTTCCAGTGAACACAATGGCTTCTGTAAGTGACCAGATAAAACAAATAAGCATGTGGGATACATACTGGGAAAAAGGAGAAGCCAAGGGTAAGAGGGACAAGGTGAAAGATCCAAGATGCCAAAGCAACCAGCAACTTAAACAAGTTAATCAGACATCCCAAGAGAAAAGAACACTGGAAAATTCAAGAGAAAGTGAGCAGCCCAAGAGCAATTCTGTGGCATCATTCAAGGTTTCCTAACTCGGTCTGGAACAAAATCAAAACCTTTTGTGTGTCCTCACAAAGGGAATGTCAAAACAGCTGTTTCTAAACCAAAAAGTCTGCACACTCCCTGTCTCTGTGAGCAAATACTTTATGAAGCTGCTTTTGCCACCATGTCTTGAACACACAAACATCTTCTGAGGTGGGATGAGGAGAGGAAGGTGCAAGCAGATTTATAGCACAGTCACTCATGCTCTATCTTGGGTGACTGTTCTCTGGAGATTAAGTTCCCCTCACTTGACATTAAGTGCTTGCTCGAGTGCTGAATGGGATCCAGTTGAGAAAAGGTCTGTGTTGAGTGCTCCTAAGGGGCACATCTTAAAGATATTTGTCTCAGTCCATGGGCTACCCAGTTTGCTGTCTCAGGATGGATTTAGGTCTCCAGCCTGTAACAGAGACAGGTTTTTAGAAGCTATCCGTGCATGGCTTGCTCAAGGACACATAGGAACACTGTAGCTGACCAACTGATTTTAGCCATGGCTCCCAGGCCCCATCCGTGTGTCCTAATCACTAGACTCGTATCAGAGCTGCTGATAAACTCTGAGTGATTTCCTTGTGCCTGGAACTGTAAGTGCGATCTGCTTGAGATTCTCCAATGGCTTATCCGCAGTCTTTAAGAGAGTTAAGATTGGGAAGAGAGAAAAAAGACAGAGACCCTGTGTTCACAAAAAACCTGTGAGCAGGGGTGATTGAAATTGGCATATGCGGATGTACACCTACACAGAGAGGGGGTCTGTACGGGTTTTGCTTACTAGTCTGGTTTCCTAAGGAAGCAAAAAACCAAAACAAGAATCTCTTGAAGTCATTGAAACCAACGAGTAAGTTTTGCAAGGGTCAGGGAAGACTGATGTTTTGGTAACAGCAAAACAGAAACACACAAAAATGACACATAGCTGTGCTCAGCCTCAAATGGTGGGAAAGGTGGAAGGCTCTAACCTCAACATCAGGAAACTTTTGACATTTAGAGTTTCAGAAGTCTCTTAGCAAGGAACAGTTTAGGAACAACTTGTTTCTTTTCTTTCTTTTTTTTTTTCACTGTAATCCCTCCTCGTTTAAAACATATAATGAATGTGAACAGTCACCAGTCTGTAAATACTGGTTTTAAGTTCACTAGAGCTTTGTTGAGAGATTCCTCCTAGGTAACAAGTCTGTGGCTCATTAGTCCCTCATTAGCAAGATAGAAATAAAGATGCAAAAGGAAAAAAAAAAACAACTTTCTCCAAAGATATTGTTGCAGTCTAATTGCCTGCAAGGAATTCTTAATAATGTTTACTAATGCCTTTTCAGCATTGCCAATTTTATAATGTTCCAGATGTGACGTTGCTGTTCCCTGCTGTGGCAGTACGAAGCCTGCTAAGGCACCTACAGTACTAAGTTTGGAAAGAGTTTAGCCCCATCTTATGTCACTGACATGAAACAACATCCACTGGGGCTTTCCAGCATCACATTTGTACTTTCAAAAAACATTATCAGAAAACTCCTTGGCTGATCCACTGTTTATACAGAACTAAGTGAAAGCAATCACAACACACACACTGGCTCAAGCCAACAGCCTCTTAATGGACATCAGCAGCACTATCAGTTACTCAAAGTTCAGTGACATTTGCTTTCCTTTTCTTGATTTTTAATAGATTAGTTTAGACTTTGTGACATTAATTGTTTCCTTATTTGTAGAGAAATATCTTTTGTTTGGGATATGATTTTATATTGTAAGCAGCATTTGGAATATAAAACTAGCAGATGTTAGCAAAACTCTGAAAGCAAAGCTTACAGCATCAACATTGTGTTATGCTCTTGCTTTACAGCTAAGGTAAGGAACAAAGCAGGCAGCAAACATGCAGATTTTGAAACAATACAGCTTTTAACCTAAATTACTCTGAGATTTCTTGGTGTTCTGGGGAGAAGTGGGCTCTCCACCTGCATCAGATTTGTATGCCCTTGGGAATACAAAAATAAACAATTTTTTGGCTGATTTTACTGAGAAAAAAAGCTTGTGAGATCATCACATATCTCTCTGTCATTCTTTCCGTCTAACAACTTGTGTACCTGCTGGCCAATTTCAGCCAAACAGAAAACAGGATGGAAATCTTTATGCTAGGAAATTCCTGGAAATAATTGGGAAAACTGCCAGCTATTAGTGTTCCCAGGAATTAAAAATCTGTGGTGGGAGCACTGTGTCCATATTTGAGAAGAAAGCTTTATATTGGAAAGAAATAGCAAGAACACCCCAACCACAGAGAAAGCCTGCTTGGGCAGAGACTCCAGCCACAACACAAAATCCAAGACACAGCAAGCTTTCTTCTTGTTATTCATCATGGACCAACTTGGGATTTTAATTACTTTTTTCCCTGGTTTTCCACATGATCTGGGTTGCTTATCTTCTCTGGTTTTAACATCTGGAGTGCCTGAGTTTTTCAGTATCACTTTAGACATAACCTGCATGGCCACCATTGCACGTATCTCCCTGCAGCATGAGCATTTCCTCATCATCCAGATAAGTAAATGGTCTGACTTCTCCTGCAGCCCTCCCCACAGTGGTAACTGTCCTTCAGATTTGGTTGTATGCGGTGACACTCTCCAGCCTGGCTCTGTCAAAACAATCCAGATGAGCTACAGTTTTCATAATGGTGTGGAGAAGGAGCAGTCACGATCATTTCCCCAGAACTGGGTTAAGAAGGAAGCACACAGCTATACCAGCAGATTTAAAGGAGACAGCTTCAGGGCAGGACTAGCACCTGTGTAGCAGACTCAGCTCTAGCTGAAATGGTAATTATGACCATTTCCTAATGCACAATCTCAGGATCAAAGAAATGGCTGATTTTGTACAGTGAATGAGACAGGAGTTACAACACAGTCCTACAATCCCAAAACCTAAATCATCAGCAAGAACAATCTGCTTTTTGAATAGCTGTCCAACCTGTTAATTCAGAAAGCTTATGCAAAAGAACATACAGGGGTCTTGTGACTCTGTTCATCAGTTAATGGCTGCAAAAATCATTTATTTGTCCTAAATTTATCACCCTGCTCCTAAAATCACAGCTGAGTCAATTAATGCTAAGGCATTGATTAGGCCTGCCAGACTGGGGTAATACCATCTGCAAGGGCATCCGGCACTCAGCCCTTCCTAATCCAAAGAAGATGGACCTGCTGCAGTCCGGCCACCTTGGCTCATGATGC